ATATATTAATAAAAGGCTATTTAATTTGGATAAAACTTTTAAAATATATGTATTTTGATCTGCTAAGCAATTTTCATTTAATAAGATAAATTAATTTATTTAGTAAAATTGCGATTTTACTATAGAGTAACTACTTAAGTAACTTATTTTTATATATAAGAGGTTTTTACTTTTTTTTTAAAAAAGAAATCTGGTTTATTTATCTTATTAGTTAATAAAAATTATATATTAACTATAAATAACATATATAGTTATAAAAAAATAAATAATTTTTTATAACAAAAATAACTTGTTATATGACAAGATATTATTTATTTTTAAATAACAATATGCTATCACTATATACAGTAGCTAACAAAAGTAATGTCTGATTTTTGCACAAAATATAAAATTTTTATTTATTAATTTTTGATTATATATATATCAATTTTTTTATTTGTTTAATAATTCAAAAGTGATTTCTTATAGCTATAATAGCCTTAAAAACCAACATATTCAAATTTAACTATACTTTTTTTAGAGCTACTTTAAGCACAAGTTTATCTTTTAGGAAGTCTTCTCAGTTTTGAATATTATTCTTTATAATCCTTCAAATGTTTTCTATAGATTAAGGTTTGGAATTGTGAAGGCCAATTTATATAATTAATTTTTTTCAAATCAAGCCAATTTACACCTTATAAATTGAAGCATTATCATATTAAAAATTAGATGAAAGTCAAGTAACTAATAAGCAGTAGCTATAAATGATGTGAAGTAATTATCTAGAACCTTGGTATAAATAATTTTTTGTCTAGGTTTTTTGTAATCATTAAAAAACTAAGACCTTTGATAGTATCAATATAATATAATCAAACTATTACTAAGATTTTTCCACTCCTAAATTTTGGTTACAAATATTCATATTTGTATTTTGCATCTGCACAATACTATACTTGAACTTAGCAAAATTGTTTATCTACCTCTATACTTATTTTATCTAAAAAAATAATATACCTCCAATAGTAAGTAATTTTGTCTATATATTGTTTACACTATTTTATATATTTGTCTATATTGTCTTGTAACAAAAAAGGTTTCAAGATATCAACTTGAGAATGAAGCCCAACCTTGTACAAGGTTCTAACTACAGTTTGCATACTGCTTGAAAATTAAATCTTTTACAATTTTGATCAGAAGTACACATATTTTTTTCAATACTTTTTTACTATGATGATTTTATCTTGCTTCTTTAAAGCAGAAAAACATCTAAACTATGATAAATTTGCAATTTTTTTGGTTCTTTTGTACTTGGCTAAGAACTTTTAAATTGTTGTTGAGGCATAACTAAGCCTTTTGATAACTTGCTCAGCACTAATAATACTAATATAAGCAAGAACTATTCTTTTTTTCAGTTATTTTTTTGTATAGCTTTTTCATAAAAAAATTTTTTGTTTTGAGCTTGTTGTTTCAATATGAAGAAAGCAAAAAATAAAAAAAATTATCTCAAAATATAAAAGTATAGAGTATACACAGTATCTTTTAGGGGTCTGCAACCCAGACACATGTTTGTGCACAACAAAAGGTCTGAATATAGGCATAGGTATGAAACCTTAAGCATAGGCATGAGCACAGGTATGAAAGCTCAAGTATAGGCATAAACATAGACATAAAAAATTGGTATAAGCATAGGCACAGCACAAAAAACTTGGTATAGGCATAGACACAGGTACAGAAATTTAGTATTTATTATTTAATTATGCCTGGCACTTTGCCAAACACCTGTGTCTAGCATCTTGTGTCTAGTACTTTGTGCCTATGCCTTTGCTAGTACCTAGCACTTTGTACCCATGTCTACAATAGTGTCTAGCATTTTATGTCTATAGACATAGACATAGCATGAGGCACTTAGTATCTAATATAATACTATATACTTGGCATAGATATTTGCAGACCCCTAGCATCTTTATTTGCTTATATATAATGATTTGCAAATTATATATTACTTTTGTTGCCTACTATATATATATATATATTTTTTTACTAAATTTTACTTAGTATAATATCAGCTAAATAAGCTGTTGGTAAAGTAATTGTGATAAAATAATATAAATCTTTTATTAATATATTTAACTATATAATTTTTTTTAAATAATAAGGTGATCACTCAAAGGTTTGGCACAGTTTATTAAACTTTGGATCAATTACCAGTATAGTTACAGAACTATATCTAATATTGTTATATTAATAAAAGTATAATTGGCTATATATACAACTTTAGTCAAATTATTGCCTATTTAAGAGCTTCACTATATCTATTTCTATTTATAGTTATCTACCAATTGCTATATCTAGGATCTGCTTATAGATCTTCTATTTAAACTTTCTAATTAACTTTATACTATCAGACATTATTTCTAAAGAGGAACTTGCTGCTGAGGCCTTCTAGAGCTTTAAGACAGACATATATATCTATATAGAGAGATTTTTTGACCTTGTAATAAACCTGCTAGAACTTTTTATACTCATATTCTGACTAGTTTAAACTTTTAGTAACTTATACCAAATCTGAGAACAAGTACTTGTGAACTGAAGTAGTATTTCTAGTTGGTAAAAATTTTGCCAATCAATTAGTTACCAACTATAGTTGCAACTAATCAATTTTTATATTATATAACTAAATTTATTGATTGGCTAATCAAGCTAAAGAAATCAATATGAATTAGCCTAATTAGATAAAATATTTTAGAATTGATAGTTAAAAATTAAATCAATTACCATATTTCTCTGAAAATAAGCACTTCCCGAAAATAAGCACCCTGGCCCATACTATACCAACTTTGGCCCGCTTTACAACAATTATGGCCAGCATTAAGTGCAAAAAAGGGGTACTTATTTTTGGAAGAATATGGTAGTTGTTTTAAATTTTTTTAAATCAATTAGTTGAAAAGTTGTCAACTAGTTGATTTTTAACTAAATTATTTAGATTACTAAGCTGAAACCACTACTATTATCTACTAATTCTCTTGTAGAGTTCACCCAAACTCTAGTATCTCTCTTTTAGGACAACCTGATATCTTTCTTTTTAGTACTTCTAACTAGTCATTTCAGATTACTAATTTAGATAGCCTAGAAAGGACACCAGTTCTATGGTATCTGCTGATTCTTTTCTTCTGGTTGATGTTTCAGCAGCCTGGTTGATAAAGCAACCTGCTGGTGCTCTTGCCTTATTTAGTTAACTAACTTTAGGTAAAGTCTATTTTAGTAACTACAGTTAAAAATTTGTGCTACCTCTCTACTTGGATCTTGCCAAGCAGGCATCTATCTTTTTAGTTTTCTGGTTTTACACAACCACAAGGACTTATCTTGGGTTTGCATTATCCAATGCTAGTTTGCATATTATTGTGTAACTTATATATTGCACAAATACCCCATGATCTTCCAATCTTGTTGGTACTACTAGAGTTACAGAGATCCTATTCCAACTGATTATCAAAAAACAGTAGCTATCATACAAATAGAATATTTGAAATCCCCTATCTTGTCAACATATCACTTGGGGATACCATTTTTCAAACTATCAATAACAATTTTATTCAGAAAATACAAATTTACAATTTTTTTTTTTAATGTAAAGATGGCACTCTTGGGCCATTGAATTTTATTGGAATATTCTTATGTAGCTTTGCTCATGGGCATTGAAATTTACAATTGTACCGTATTTTCCCAACATGTGTACCCGGGGTATATCCCTAGCCCATTTTAGTACCCGGGGTACGTGTGTAGGGGGGGTATACTGTACGAGTACTTCTACGTTTTGATATGTTTTACTATTATATGCTCGGGTACATAAGTATGATACTCCCATACTTATATACCCGGGTATAAATCAAAATTTGGCACTCTAAATTGCTACAGGGTATAGCCCACGGGGGTATACATGTTGGGAAAATACGGTAGTTGTTCGTTGTTCCAGATCACTTCTGTTTATTAGTAAATTTTGACAATAGTTATGACTTTACTAAAATATAACTATGGTGTTTTACATTTATGAATACATTATTTCAAAAATAAGCTAATTAATCGGTGTAGAATGTTCTAAGTAAAAATGTTCAACTCCTACAAAAACCCTTCCCAAACTTTAATTCTAACTATAAATACTAACCCTAACGTGAAAATTTTGCATTAAGATTTTATATACAATGCTAAATCACCAGAGATGTATTTTATAATAAATGATATCTATTACAAATTTAACACTTTAAACATTTTTTGTATTTTGCTCTATGAATTCAGTGATATTTTGAAAATTTTGCAACTATTGCAATGCAAATTGGTTGAAATGAATTTATGTCAGTAGAAAAAGATGAAAAAGATAGATCCAATCCGGGTTACCTGCCGGTTAATTGTTAGCATACCCGGGTAAATACCCGGGTAAAGTATAATCTGCAAATTATACTGTCATGTGATACAAGTACATAATGAATAGTACAGTATATAGAAAATATATGTATTTGATTGGCTACCATTTTTTACCCGGGCAACAGAATCTAACCCGGGACCAATCCTTAGAAAAAGATAATAAAAAAAACATAAATATCTATTTGTAACTAGGATTATTACAAATCGTTCATAATTATTTCATGATAAAAAATATATACTGGCGTTTCGAGTTGATTAAAAATTTTAAACTATTAGTTGACAACTTAGTCTACAATTAATCGCAACTAACAGTCATATGTTTTTAATAAATTTAATTGGCTTAAACAAATTTCGCAAGTTTTGTTCTACATTAACTAATTTGATTGGTTAAATAAAATTTCAATTTCACTATCGTTATGTAAATAATCAACAATTAGTTGGTTAAAAAAAAAAAATTTCAATCGATTAACTAACTAGTTGTCAACTATAGTTGATTTGATTTGGATCACCAATATGGATGCAAAATCATAACTTTCCAAAGCAATACGTGATATCGGTCATATATATGTTTACATATAAAAACTATGATTATTCGGTTAATATTAGCCACCAAAATCAAATGTTCGAGCTTTTTTCGATAGTGATGCCGTGGAAAGGTTATAATGGCAATCGGGAATCGATTGAGAATTCAATTTTCTAGACCCTATAATTAAGAGTAATTAAAACTTTTATCAATTAAAAACCGGATATAATAAGCGTAATTGTTTACCAGAAATGTTTCGCAATTCTGCAGATAAAGGATTAATTGGCTCCGAAAGGTTTTTAAAGTTAAGCAGTTTACTAGTAAGTTTATCTTTAGGAAAATTTGTCAATTTGGTTGACAACGTTGGAATAATTGCATCTGCAGACTGGAACGCTTTTAATATTGCCAATTCATTTTTATTTTTTGCTGCATTATTAACTACTATATCGTACCATCTCGATAATTCTTTATGGATATCAGATGCAATTGGTCTATTAAAAGGATTAGCATCCACACATTGATTTGCTAATTGGGTATAACACTCAGGAGTGCCTTTAGCAAATTCAGGACGTAATCCATTACAACAGATTTGAATGGCTAACGCTTCATCATACTCAACATCATAATGAGGAGGTCTTCCCGAAGACATTTCGGCCATAATAATACCAAAGCTATAAATGTCAGCGGCTATTGTATATGGATGTTTATTTAACACTTCTGGCGCAACGTAAGGTAAAACGCCGTAAATACCATCATCTAAATCAGAATCATCCTTTTTTCTAGATAATCCTAGATCTGCAATATAAGATACTAGCTCACCATAGATAGATTGATTTTGCAGTATATTACCGCTATGAAAATCACCATGAACATATTCTGATCCATGAACCTTTGCTAAATTGTTAGATATATCTACAAGCAGTTTTAACTTACTTTTCCAATTAAGATCCCTAAAATTTAAAGATAGGAGATTATGAAGACTTCCCCTATTTGCATATTGAAATACTATCAAATATTCATTGTTAGTTGTGTCTTGAGTCAGTCCATATACTTCAAGGTTATTACCCATTAATCTAAATTCTGTATAACTTTTAAACTTAAATAAATTAAAATTTATAATGTTAACAACTTATCTATAATTTATTTATATTAGACCATAAATAAATTATTTTAACATACTTCTCTTAAAAAATTCTTTTGTAAACCAGGTAAAGTTTTAAGTGCAACTACACATGATGGTGTACGTGATCGTGTGTATCTATCATATCCAAATCTAGGAAATCTATCATCTAAAACTATTCTTTTACCATCTAACCACGTTGCCGAAAACACAGAGCCAAATCCCCCTTTACCAATGTCTTGAATATTAACTAATCTATTAAAAGGAATCCATTCAATTATACCTTCATAAGATGTAGCTTTAAGTTGAAATTCTTTAATACAATCATCGACTTCCTTATTTCCACTTGTCCATTCTTGTTTTATTTTTTGA